ACCAAACCACATCGTTTTACAAATAAGTCTATCATTAGATGACTAATAAATCTACCAAACGACATCGTTTTTTAAAATAATTTTACCATCAAATAACTAATAAATCTACCAAACCACATTTCGTTTTCTAAATATATCTACCACCAAATAACTAATAATCTACCAAACTACATACCGTTTTTCAAATAAATCTACCATCACACATTATGAATTTTACAACAAAAAAAAATACAATATCGATTTCCAAATATATCTACCAAACGTACATGAAAAAAAAAATTAGGGTTACGGTTTTTACAGAAAAATTTACGCCGCCGACAACCTCCACAACACCACCATTCCATCGAAACAATGTCTGTCCACTGCGGTTGTGCGCGACGCGGCGAGAATGCTGCTTAAGAGTCACCACCAACCACCACATCTCTGTAGTTTATCGTTGATATTAAATCCATAAATCCAGATCTAGAAAAAAATCAAAGAATTCGAAAAAAAATAAAAAAAAACTCACATAATAGTAGAATGAATTGTAGAAGCCATGGGAAGATTTAGATCTCCGAGCTTGGAAACGTTGGAGGCTTCTTGATACAAAAAATCGGTAGAGCTAGTTGTGTTTTTCTCGATCTGAAACATTGATGCTTTGAAGTTCATAAAAAATACCTCATACAACAAAATTTAACAAAACAAAAGAAAAGATGAAGAGGAGAGCAAGAGAGGAATGAAAATGTTAAGAAGAAGAGCAGTTCTATGGGAGAAAGAAAGCAGCGCTGGAAAAAGAGAGAGAAGAAGATGAATTAGGGTTTTTTTTTTTTTTGGTTTTTTTTTTTGCTTTTTTTGTTTAAAAAATAGTTTTTTCGTCAAAAAAAATTTCGAATTTTTTTAAAAAATTTTTCCGAAATTAAAGTTTTTTCGAAATTTTTTTTTTAAAAAAAAAAAATCATAATGGCATTTTCATAATAATATTCAACATCTGGATAAAATGGACTTAGACCAACTTTATAAGGTTAATCTAGTATGCCCTTCAATATGTTAAGCTAGGTTTGTCATTTCATAACCTTAAAGGCTAGTCTG